ATCCGCACCCGAGCCGTCCAGGGCTGACCGCGCCGCCGGAGGGCATCCCGAGCGGGAGGAGGGCGCCAAGCGCACCACGCACGCCTCCCAGGACCAGCAGGCCAAGCACGGGCGAGAGGATGACGCTGAGCCCTGCGAGGAAGACACTGCCTGAGCAGAGGACGAGGAGCCCGGCGAAGAGCAACCCGAACGCGAAGCGCAGCGCCGCTGCATTTCCTTGCGGCGGGGCCGTGAGGGGAGCGCAGCTGGCTCTGAACCTCGGGGCCCTTCGTCCAGCGCCGCCAGAGAGGTGCCAGATCTGCAGCTACATCGACGATGTGGCCATCGTGGATGAGGTACCAGATAACGATCTAGACCCCGATCCGGAGCCAGAGACCGAGCCAACGAGGCTGAGCGGGAACGACGACTTCAGCCTGGACAGGAGCCCATGGAATGAACGGAGTCCTACGCAGCACAATTACAAGCAAATGTTCTATAAGGTTCCCCTCGGGGAGTACACTTGAAATCAGATATTACATAAGGTCTTTCGCGTCGAACGCACTTACAAGTTAACTTCGAGGGTCACGCCAGCAGTTTGGGATCTCATGTATCATGGGCGTTCAGAAGCTCCCGTTCTAGAAGACCTTCAGGATCTCTTGTATGATGACCGGCTGGTATCCTTGGGGCATCTTGAGACCTCGCCCACACGGCTCAACATCAACACCGAAGCCCAGGGCGACTTCGCGACGATGAGTCCTGCGACAGTTCAGCAGGTCTGCGGGACAACGAGTCCCAGGCTTACTCGCAGAACCTCTGGGAAGACGAGCTCTACAGAGCACGGAGCCACGAGACCTCGGGATGTCGAGCTTTCCGGGGGATTGGTTCAGATCGACCTCGGGACAACGAGCTCCCCAGGGAATTTGGTGCAGAGAGGTCCCGAGCTCCACATGCCCTGGGCCAGTTTTTTCAGCACGGACAAGTTCTGGGTGTCTCTGGGAGTCTGCAGAGAACGCGCTCTCGGAGGAAGTTGCTGCAGCGCAGTCGGAAACAATGGGGTTCATGCGCATCCCGTCTCAGAGTCCCTGGGCGGCTCCGTCCGAGATCCAGGGTATGATGGAGTCCCAGAGCAGATTCTTCACGGCCACGGGCGCTGCGACGAAGGACAATGCCATGATCCTGAAGGGGTTGGCCTCGCTCGTGCGGCAACGCTCTTGAAGCGGCACTTAGCCGAGGCGGTGGTGGCCCGCTGCGCCTTGCCGTCGGCCTGACGGCAAGGCGTCTCAAGGCCGAGCTAGTGGAGGAGTCCGCTCGCGGGCTCCGCGCTCGTCCCCGAGTGAGGTCCAGGCCGCGCGCGCAAATTCGTTGTCGTCATACACACCTTTTCCGGCCTCGTCTTCAGTTTGCTCATCTTGCGGGTTTGTACTTCACCGCTGACATACTTCGGTTTTGTTCGATTGTTGGCATGTGGTCCTTCTATACCTCTTTCATCACTGGGTCCTATCTTGCGACATAGTAGCTGGTGCTACCCTTATGGTCGTACTCAGTGGTTCTGCGGTTCATCCCGTCCCGCCAAGGTTTGGCTCGCTGTCTGCAGCTCGCGCTGGCAAGCGGGGGCTCTGGACACAACCGCGAGCGTCGATGCACAGTCCAGACTGTGCGTTTCAGCGGACCCCTTGAATGTGACTGGTGCTGGGCTCTTGTCGTGAATATGCTGTATTTTGTTCCCTGCCCTCAGTCGGTGCCGTTGTCATGCAGCTGCATTTCCACATCCGCGGTGTCCTGCCGTTGTGTTGTGGCTGCTGGGGCCTTGGTTGTGTCATGGCGAACTCGTGAATGTTGCATTGGTCCTCCTGCGTTGAATTTCAGCTCATCTCCTTGTTGGCAGTCCATGGCAGGAGTAACATGACGGATGCCGGCCCAGTGTGGATGCCGGCCCAGTGTGGCTGACATGCCGGCCCAGGCGGCCTAGGAGCCGACGATAGCGCCATAAGAAGAAACACAGTTTTTTGGTCTTCATTTTCCGCCTTATCCCTTTTCCACCTCCCGTCGTCTGCCTCTTCTCTCTCCTCAACCCCCCGTCTCTCTCACCTCCCCCAAATCCCTCATCCATCTCCCTTTTCGTTTTTCTCCTCCTCTGTCCCGTCTCCCCCGCCGCGCCCTCCCCTCCTTTCTCCCCATACGGGACATGCCGACGTCGTCTTGGATGCTTCCGCCGACCCCCCACGCCCTGGGCATGAGGGGACAGGAGGAGGGGAAGAAGGCGGAGGAGGAGGAGGAGAGCGACACGTGAGGATGACGAGCCGGGCAGGCCGACGAGGACGGAGGACGGGGAGGACGATAATGATGATGATGATGATGATGATGATGATGATGATGATGATGATGATGATGATGATGACGATGATGATGATGATGATGATGATGGTGATGATGCTGCTGCTGATGGTGCTGATGGTGCTGATGATGATGATGATGGTGATGGTGATGGTGATGATGATGATGATGAGGATGAGGATGATGATGGTGATGGTGATGGTGATGGTGATTGTGCTGCTAATGATGATGGTGATGATGATGATGATAATGATGATGATAATGATGATGATGATGATGATGGTGATGATGCTGCTGATGGTGCTGATGGTGCTGATGATGATGATGATGATGATGATGATGATGATGGTGATGGTGATGGTGATGATGATGAGGATGATGAGGATGATGATGGTGATGGTGATGGTGATGGTGATGGTGATGGTGCTGCTAATGATGATGGAGATGGTGATGGTGATGATGATGATGATGATGATGATGACGGTGATGGTGATGGTGATGATGATGATGATGCTGATGATGATGATGGTGGTGGTGGTGGGGTGGTGGTAATGGTGATGGTGATGGTGATGGTGATGGTGATGGTGATGGTGATGGTGATGGTGATGATGATGATGATGATGATGATGATGGTGATGATGATGATGAAGATGATGGTGGGGTGAAAGGGGGCGGGGGGGCGGGGACGAGATGGAGGGAGGAAGAGGGGGGGGACGACGACGAGGAGGGGGAGAAGAAGCAGGCCAAGAAGGACGAGTTTGAGGAGGTGGAGGACGAGGAAGAGGAGGAAAAGGAGGACGACGAGGAGGAAAACGAATTGTCGGAGGAAGACTAGGAGGAGAAGTGAGGATCAACGAGAATGAGAGGGAAAACAATGATGTTGATGAGGAGGCTGGACCGCCGCAAAGAACCCAAAATGTCTCAAACAATTATATACCGATGTTCGGCCTTAACGACAACCACAAGGACCAGGACCCGGTACGACGGACGACAACGACGAGAGCAACGACAGACGACAAACAACACGTAAACAAAATACGACGGCCTTCGGAGTTCCCAGCAGGTTTCCGGAACTCTCCGGAGGTGTCCAGAAGCCTCTAGACGCTTCTGGAGGGCTTGAGGCGACGTGAATGGTCAAGAGCGTCAAAGGCCCGAATCCCAGATTTTCGATCTCGCCGACGACGGGTGACCGACGGCGACGACGACACTCGAACGACGACCAACGACGACAGTCGAACGATTTAGGGCAACTTGCGACGTCGACGATGAGGACGACGACGACGACGGCGACGACGGCAGTCGAACGACGAGGACAGTCGACAACCGACAGACGACGTTGGTGACGTTGATGACATTTGATGACATGGGTGGTGGCGACGATGATGACGGCCGACGTTCGACGGACGACGGATTCGTCTCCGGCGGCAACGACGACGACGATGGAAGCGGAGACGACAACGACGGCGGTTGCGACGACGACGGCGTCGACGACGCCGACGACGACGACGATGGCGACAACGACGACTGCGACACCGACGACGAGCGATGACCACGACGACCGCCTGCGGGGAGGAGCGCCCCTGCCGCCCAAGCGTGCCCGTGGGCCCCTGGCTTGAGCGGGATAGCGCGCCTCCCCGAAGGCCGCCGTCGCGCCGGCCGCGCCAAGTGTAGACTAGTAGAGGCAGGTGCCGAGTGGGGGGTCCACCACCAGAGGCGTGGCCACCACCTCATGGCCAAGCAGGGACGAAGCGTCCTGGTCTTTCCATGCGCTCCTCACAAATCGCCGAAACTTTGTACAAGGTTATCAGGACGCTTCTGGCTAAGGAAGTCGTGTTTCAAGACGTCGATGTACGTTTTAACCACATCGTTTTGTTATGGGGGAATGGTTCTGCCCTCTGAGCATGATGTGAAGGGCCTAGAGGAATCCCAGGACGGTCGGTCCCTGCCGATTCTCAATGATCGAGGGTTTCGGAGGGGGAAGGATCGAGGATCGAAGATGCTGCGCGTTTCAGCAGAGAAGGTGCAGACGAGGATCGAAGAGTTCGGTCTCGACGTATCTGGCCGTTCCGGGTGGCTCTGTAGGCTTGCTAGGAAGAGGGTACCAGACCCTCTGGAGGTGATCCCCTTGGCACCGTCTGCGAGGATGGGGGAGTTACCATGAAGAGAAGGGGTCCTGACGGAATGAGGGGGTCCTGGCGTTTTTCGCCGATTTCGGTTTCCTGGGGACCTCCTTGGGCCCCAGGCCGTCAAAAGGCGATTCAGAATGAAAAGCTGATCCCAGGGAAACTCCTGGGGGTCCAGGACCCTTGTTACTAATGGCAAGGGATGTGACTGAGGAGGGAGGATTGAGGTTTTGTTGGGCGTGCGGAATCCGTTTGGGTGTTCGCACATCCTCCCTCCTTCTCTCTCCGTTCTGCTCATTCCTCCATCCTTCCCCTATCCTTCCCCCCATTCTTCCTCCCTCCTGCCTCCCTCGTCCCCCTCCCTCCTATACTTTACCGCCCTCTCCCTTCTCTTCCCCCCCTCCCTACTCCCTCCCTTCCCTTTCTCACTTTCTCCTCCATGCCTCCTCGTCTTCGTGCCCTTCCCGCACTTACGCCTCCCTCTCCCGCCATCCTCCCTTTCCCCCGACTGGTGTTCGGAGTAAGGGGGGGGGGACGGGGAACGAGAGGAGGGGGGGGGATAGGGGGGTAAGGGGTGGTGGAGGAGGATGATTTGCAGGTCGAGATAGAGGTGGATGTGCAGGAGGACCGAGGATCGAAGATCGAGGATCGAGGGTCGAGGGGTCGAGGATCGAGGGTCGAGGGTCGAAGGGCGTATGGAATGGGCAGGGAGCGCGAGGGGGGCGTGCAAGCTTTGCATGGGACACCCCTGCGGCGCCGTCCGAGCGAGCGCGGCAGGGGGGCGCTTGGGGCACGGCGTTTGCGGGCACGCCGGCGGCGACGTCGAATTCGGGAGCGCCGCCAGTCGCAGAAAAGAAGGCCCGCAGCCGCGAGAGCTCACCTTGTGCGCGCGGGCTCGATCTTCTGCACCAAGTTTGAGTCGGGCCTGTCCCCCTACAGGCCGATTTTCGACGAAGAATGAAACCTAGTCAAAACATACCCTAACGTATGCAAAAATGATCAAACACTTGTCCCCAGACTATTTGTTTGACAATTTTTTGATATTCCTCCTGTAGAAGAACAGGCCCGACTTAACACCAGGTCGTTTGGCCGGCCAAAGGTCCATGGAGCTGGCTGGGGTTCCGAGGTGGCCCAGCACTGTTTCTGGCCAGCAGGTTCGAGGTCCTGGGTTCGTGGAAGGTGTTTGCCCCGTTCGGCCTCCCGGGGTGGTTTTCAGGCCCCGGGACTGAACAGCGGATCCGTGGAGAAAAATTGCGCCAGACCGGTGCGCGCGCGCGTTGTGATGGCCAGTGGCGAGGTACAGCACGCCATGCCGCTCGTTTTCGAGCCCTCCTCGTGCCTGCAGAAATGTGCCTTCGTGTCCTCATGCCGCGAGACCTGTTGGCTGAAGCTCGAAGCGGATTTGCTTGCGCATCGTGGGGTTGAGATCCAGGATCTCCCTTGCAGAGGCAGCAAAGGCAGCTACGAAGCCAACAGGTGTAGCCAGGAGCAAGCAGCAAGCCGCGCGAAGCAAGCAGCGGCAGGCAGAGATATAATTCATAAACAGCATGAAGCGCAAACGTAAGCACCAGCAGCAAGCAACATAAGAAGGAGGGACGGGGGAGCAGGAGGGGGCAGAGGAGGGAGAAGCAGGAAGGAGCAAGAGCAGGAAAGGGAATGAGAAGGGGGGGGCAACAGGAGCAGGATGGGGGGAGGACGAAGGCGACGGCGAGGAGGCGGGGGCGGAGTGGGGTTGGCGGGGGAGGCGTGTCCCCTCGC